TTTCCATTCTGGGTTTAGCCTCTTGTTTCCCCTCAGATCCCTGAGCCAGGCCCTTGTGCAAATGCATTAGTGGCCTGTCTTTGTTCCTGGCATTTTTCTTTTTCAGAGGAACTTGTGTGTGTGTGTGCCTTTACTCTGGATTCCATTATGCTCATCCCATTCTGTGTCACTGCTGACAACATCACCAACCTGTCTGCCACGCAGTCCTGTAAACTGGGGGTCAGCTTCAACTCCTCCTTTGCTCCAAAGAGGCAGATGATGTAGAAATTCTGTTGCTGTCTGCCCCTTCAAGGGCCTAAGGCCAGGAGAAGCCCAGCAGGTATGTGTTGAGAACCAGCTAACACAGATAAGCAGCAGCTAATGAGTGGCTCTGATTCTCAGCTGCAGAATATAAGGAAGGACTCAGTGTGTATAAGCAGAGAGGTAGGAGAGGCAAACAAACACTTTTCTGAGCAGCAGTAGTGAAAGGCTGCAACAGGGCAGGTAGATCCTATGGTCCCCCTGAGGCTAAGGGAGGGCTGTGACCCTTGAGCCACTGCTGGTAGAGTACCCTGCAGTATCAGTCCAGGTTACGACGATCGTTTTTGTTACTTGTCAATATTTCTTGCCTTTGTGTGATAGAGGAATAAAAGAGCCTGTGTTGAAGGCTAAACCAGAGCTGGGTGTGGCTGACTGTTTTGTTACCAAGCCAGTCGACAGCCCCACCAAATTATACCAGGTGGAGAACGCGAGCAGAGTTTACCACTGCCTAGAAAAAGCATGGCTCCTGAAGCTGTGTTGAAATGGATGGGAGAACAACAGCTTCTAGAGCAGCGATGAGAGGTGACCAGCGCAAGAGCAGATTCTGACCCAGCAGCAACTCTAGTTACAACAACAGTTCCAACAAACTCGGCAGGAGGAATGGCAGCAGTTTATACTTCATCTATTAACCTCAGAGAATCGGAGCCCTCAGGTAGGTGGGGGTGCTGCAGTTCACTGTGGGTGATGGAGAAGTCTTCTCAAAAATGGGGCCAGAAGATGCTCTTGAGGCCTTCCTAGAGACTTTAGAGCAAGTGGCTGGGGTATACCAGTGGCTTCAGGTCGAAGGGGCCACTAAGATCACACCCTATCTGCCAGGAGAGGCCCAGGCTAAGTATCATGCCCTGGAGTAGAGGAGGCAAAGGACTATGGGACACTCAAAACCACAGTACTAGACCACCTGGGACTTAGTGAAGAGGGCTGTTGCCGGTTATTCCAATGTGAACCATTTACTCTAGAGTCCTGGCCAAGGGCTGTAGCCCCCATGACTTTTAAATTTTTGTTCTCACTGGCTGAAACCAGAGACTTGTTCTCCACTGGAAATTGTGCAATTTGTGACGTCAGAACGATTTTACCAAATTCTCCCAGTGAGGTCCAAGGAGAGGGTCTGCTGCCACCAAGTGTCTCACCTGGAGGAGGCAGTACACCTCATAGTGAATTTCCTGGAGGCTGAAATAGAGTGTGAGCCTCCAGGCAAACTGGGGAACTCGAATGTGCATGGCTCAGCTCCAACAGGGAAGGGGGCCCAAGCTCCAAGAGACCCCTTGGGAAGGGCTGAATTGGGCCATAGGGTGAACTCATGGTACTCCCTGGATTGGAACCTGCACCTGGCTGTGGGCCAGCTGACAGAGTCCCAGCTGAGAAGAAAGGGAGGTCCCTAATTGGTTTTATTTGGGGGAAGGAAGGCAAATGGTACAAAGATTGCCCCAATATACAATGCAATTATGCCCACAACTGTTGCTTAGAAACCTTGGGCTGAAGGCCTAAGTAGTCCCGGTTACAATGGCAGGGACTGAGGTGCTGGACCTGATTGACTCAGGTTCAAGGTAGACATTCATACAAGAGCAATCGATTGCTCCCAAGCTCTAAAAGGGACCAAATGGATATATGTAGCATGTATTCATGGGGACAATCTGTCCTACCCTCTGGCTAAAGTCAGATTAACAGTGGGGGTGTTGATAGGGTGAAATGTCAATTGCTGTGACCTGACACCTACTTACCCAGTTGTATTGAACCAGGGCTGGGGACTTGTAACCAGCTTTCTGAGGGTGGCCAGGAAGGCGAGGTTGGCACTCAATTTAGAGACCCAAGGAAAAGTTAGGCCGAAAGAAGTTTTCCCCTCTTCCAACTCTGAGCTGGTTGGCCCCAAAGCAAAGTCATGCCAGGAACAGTGTTGGGTCTGAAGGGAGGCACTCAAGGCCCAAAGGGTCTGTGAAAAGAGACTGGGAAAGGTACACAGAGTGCAGTGTAGTTTGGAGCCTCCTGAGGAATGGCCATATGAACAGCCTCCCCCTTGGGGCAACCCACTACTCTTACACAGGGTCTGAACTTCATCACAAGACAGAGAGGGGACCAGTTTTCAGGCCACTATATGGCTGGTGGAAATGAAGTGCTGGTTAATCCTGCCCAGAACACTCACTACCCCCATTTTGAGTGAAAAAGGGATTTCTGGGTGTGAGTGGTCCAGGATAAACAAACCAGAGCCTCCCAAACCCAACTCTTGGACCCCAAGTTGTATTAAAACCAAGTGTTAAAATTTGCCCATGATGTGTCATGGTCTGGTCACTTGGGAGTGGAGTAAATCCAAGAGAGGATAATGGCCCAGTTCTTTTAGCCCACAGTTTATCCTGACATTAAAGATTATTGTGAATCCTGTCTGAAATGCCCACTGATGACCCCCCAGCTGGACCACAGGACCTCCTTAGGCCCTCTTTCTTTGGTGAGCACCCCTTTTGGTAGGGTTGGGGAAGACCTCGTAGGGCCCCGGGAACCGAGCTCAAGCAGGTAACTATTTATTCTGATGATTGAAGATTATGCCACTCAGTACCCGAAGCTGTAGCCCCTGCACTCAGCAACATCACAGACAATAACCAAGTGAATGGAAGTATTTGCTGGAGTGGGCTTTCCACAAGTTCTCCTGACGGGTTAGGGCACAGCCTTCACATCCCAGTTAATACGAGAGAGTTCGGCTCTCCTGAAAACTCTCTTGTCCAATGCCCACAAACAGATGATCTAGTAGCGTGGTTTCACAACACATTAAGGCAGCTGTTGTGAAAATTTGTAACTAGGGAAGCCTGGAATTGGGACAAAATGCACCTGTATTTGTTGTTTGCAATCTGGGAGGTTCCACAATCCTCCACCGGCTTTTCACCCTATGAATTGCTGGATGTTCAACAACCCTAGGGGATACTGGATCTTTTACAGGCGTCTTGGCAGGAACAAGGCATCACTAGCCAGAAAGTGATCCAGTATGGTCTCAAGATGAATAAGAGAGAGAGAGAGAGACTGGATTTGGTAGGGGTCTTTGTCAGGGAGAACCTGTGAGCAGCACAGAACACCCAGGAACAACAGTAGAATAGAAGTGTCCAGGAGAACCCTATCCCGTTCTCCTCGGATAGGACTCTTTGGCTGCTCTCCTCTGCAGATAGCAAACTGCTGACAAAGTGGCAAGGGCCTTCTGAGATGTTCATAGGAGTCAGAGAGGTGGCCCATGAGGTTTGATTGGTGGGCAAGTGACCGGGGTTAGGGTTAGAACCCCTTAGCATCTGAGTCCAAGGAGTTAACTGCATGTGCCATGCCCTTGGGTCTGTACCACTTCCAGACCCTTCCATTTAGGCTCCATGGCACTCCTGTGACATTTCAGACACTTCTGCCCCACTGAGCATATGCTGCTGCATGCCTCAATGATGGAGCGGTCTACCCCACCTCAAAGGTGTCCAAGTGATACTCCAGTCCCTTAGGGCTGTGGGGCTCATGACCAACTGCTGGCTCAGTTCCATAGAGATGAAGTACCTTGGCTATATTCTGAGGAAGGGGACGATCAAACCATTGATAAATAAGGAAAGAACCTGGTCGAATGCCACTGCCCACCACAAAGCATCAAATAAAATCTTTCCTCAAGTTGGCTGGGTATTACTGTTGCTTCCTCTTTTTTCCATGATTATGGTCTAGCAACCAGACCTATGGCACAACCAAGCATCTCAAACGATGTAAGAGCATGGACTGGACTAGATGATCTCTCGAGGTCCCTTCAAGTCCCATGATTGTATGATTCTCCACTCCATTATCTAAATCATTAATTAAAATAGTGAATAGTACCAGACTCAGGACTGACCCCTATGGAACCCCAATAGATACACCTTATAGATACACCTCCTAGTTTCTCTTGCTCCTAATGAGTTTAAAGAACCTCTTCTTATTACCTTTTATGTCCCTTGCTAGATGTAACTCATTTGTGCCTTTGCCTTTCTGATTTTGTTCCCATGTGCTTGTGCTGTTCTTTTGTCCTCTTCCTTAGCAATTTGTCCAAGTTTTCACTTCTGTGGGATTTCCTTTTGATTTTCAGTTCATTAAAGTGCTCCTCATGAAGCCATATTGGCCTCTTACTATTCCTATCCTTCCTTCACATTGGGGTAGTTTGCTGTTTTGTCTTTAATATTGCCAATGCTCCTGATCTCTTTTACCCCTTAGCTTTTCTTCCCATGGGACCTTACCTACCAATTCTGAGTTTGGAGAAATGATAAAAAGAGTGTTAGGACTGCATCAAATTCCCACCCTCTCCTTGGACGATGAACAGCTGTGAGCTGTAAAAGGCATACCTGGGCCCCCTTGTGCTATTTAAAATTAAGATTAAAAAAATCTAATTGACAGCAGGAGGCCCATATTAATCTCCTAATCTGAGACAGGGTTTAGAAAAGCTTCCTGATTAGAGCATTAAAAAACAGGCCCCAGTTGGCACCATCAGTGGCTGTCTCAGAAAAGGCACCGAGGAGTAAATGGGCTGTGGAGTCTGGATTCCAGGACTACTTTTCCCTACAAAATGAAGGTCTCCCAAAACAGAATCCTTGTTTAGCAGCAGTGCCTGGATAATGGGATTACCTAAGAAAAGCCTGAGCCCCATTGTTTGGGGTGCGATTCCACCCACCCCAGATGGTGAATCAGCCCTGTGACTCATAGTGTGTTTTGAAATAAATCTTTTCAAGTCATAAGCAAGGCACTGGGTTTAATGTAAGCTAGAAAGTTACCAGGCTCGTAAACAGCAAAACACAGTATATAAAGACATTATAGGCATGCTTGTGAACTCAGGTGCAGTTTAAAAGGAGCAGAAAATGCAGCATCTCACTAGTGTCCATCGCTGGAAGAGCATTATTTTTCACCAAGCATCATACGTGGTTCTAAGAGCGACACCATATTTGAAATGTGTGTAAGCCTGGTGCAGGGTTTGCTGTTTGTGTCTGACTTCACCCTGATCTCAGCACAGCAGGAGCTCTGTCTGGGGTACAGAATATGAAGCCACTGGGTGGTTGATTAGTAAGAGCGGCGGTTAGGGAGGTGCTCTGGGGGCACTGCAGCGCAGCTCTGCCCCAGGGAGGCACAAAGGGAGGGTGTGCCTTCTGCCACATCCCTCCAGAGGGTGCATGAGGAGTTCTGCTACCAGTCAGCTCCATGGCTGGTGTGGGGGAAAGACATGGTACGGCCTCTCTTGGGGAGCCTAGCATGTTGCTAGGTTGGCACAGACCTGGCTCACCTGGTCACAGAAACCGTGATTGTGCTCACCCCCTGCGCTGAGGGGGGCAGCAAGGGAAGGGGGCTTCTTGTGCCTGCCCTCTTTGGGCCAACTGTGCAGGGACTGGACATAACTTGCTTTTAAGAAAGGATTTCCAGATCTGGCCCAAAGTTTAATGGAGCCTGTAACTGCACAAGGGGTTCAGATGGGCCAGCGGGTGGATGTGGCAGACCTGGTGACTTGTATCTGCAGCAGCTTTCAGTGAGAGTCTGTCATTCCCATCAATCTAATGCTTGACCTGACCGTCCTCCTCGGTGAGCTGCAGCAGTTCAGCAGGAATTGGACCACCTGCGCAGTAACTGCCGCACAGGGTGCAATAGTCATTACTACAGAAGGACAAACTTTCCAGCTCCAGAGACTCCTGTGGCATAAAGAAGTCACCCTGACTGTCCCGTAAATATGGGGGATGGTTCCCACTCATGTCTGGGCTGCCAAGGTTGGTGTCGCTTCTTTCAGAGAAGTCCAGGGCACCTGCGTCATCGGCGTGGTTTTGTAGGAACAATGATGGCAGCCTGGCTTCCACCTCTTCCACACTCACATACCTGCTCTGGAGGTACTGCTGGTCGGGCCTGGAGGCAGGGCCACAAGGGTCCTCCTGAGGAATGATTTTGGTCTTTGCCAGTGACTTGAAGGAGAGCTGGGAAATGACATCATGAGCACTTAGACCAGGAACTCCATCCATAGTCACTTTGCCTGGGTTGTTAGCGTCATCTCTTCTGAGCTGGCCACATGTCTCATTAGGTCCAATCCAGTCCTGAAGCAAGGAACAGTAAATACTGTTTAGTGGGGAGAGGCAGAATTTGCAAAGGAATTCTTGAACTATTGCTTTCCATAGGCTTTGGCAGTGCAGACCAGGGGCTAGATCAGTTCTACATCAGTGCAACTCCACTGAGTGAACCTCAAGTAATGGAGTGGAGAATAAGGCCCTTGCTTTCTCTGATGGAAGTTTTGATGACCTTCAAGCTTTCATTCCTGAGCCAGACCCTGAGCAGCCTCTGCTATCTTGGCTCCCTGGGGGACAGCATCTCCAGTTGGTATGTAGAAAGGGAAGCAGGCAGGGGATAAGGAAAAAGGCAACTGCACTACTGAGGCGGGAAATGCTCCCAGGCTTTGATTTTGCATTTGCCAGGCACTGGAGCCTATTGCAACTTTCAGCAGTCAGAGTAAGTGCTAATTTACCCAGAGGGCCTCAATGTAGGGGGACAAGGGACTTGACATCCTATGGGGTAGCAACAAGGCTCACTCAAAACCAGCCAACCCCAAGCACAGGCAGGGATGGAGAGAGAATGGAGGAAGGAGACAAGGCTGATACTGGCCCTGGGTAGAGTGACCAGACAGCAAGTGTGAAAAATCGGGACGTGGGTGGGGGGGTAATAGGAACCTAGATAAGAAAAAGACCCCAAAATCGGGACCATCCCTATAAAAATCGGGACTTCTGGTCACCCTAGCCCAGGGGAACTGATTTCAGGTAGAAGGAAAAGGATCCTGTACTTCTGACCATAAAGGGGCAGTGACCCTCCCTGCTGACGCCCCCTCAGTGCATGGGGTAGGAGCAGCTGGATTTAACAGGACAGTGTGGGTGGGGTGTCCCCGGATAGTCTGGTCTGACTGATTCTCCTACAGTTCTTTGGCTAGGCAAGGAAGAGCCTGATAGCAGCAGTTGTGGAAGGTCCAGTGGGGATTGGGCAAGTCCGATGGTGGTGGTATAAAGGAAGGGAGGCAGTGACTGGAAGATGCTCAGGATGGGAGGGCTTCGTTCCTAGGTGGAGAGGAGGTTGGTGATGGAGCAGGAGGAATATGGAGGCAGGTGTTTGAGTGGAGAATGAGGAACTTCCAGGCAGACTAAAGCCCTGTGTCGGAATGGGCCTGGTGAGGCCTGTTAGTGGAAGCAGTGATGAGAACCCACAAGCCACCTTCCCACATTGAGGGGAAGGATCATGAAGAAGAAGGAGAATTTGCTGTTACCTTAAAATTCCCATTGTGCAAGGTGTAGAGAGGCTGGAAGAAAGCAGCCGGGGTGGGAACGTTCAGGCAGAAGATGTTCTTTGCCCTGTGGAAAAAGATGATACTGCTATCAAATCTAGATAAATGTTCCACCTTCTATCGCAACCCGCAGCACACTGCGAAAGATTAAACCAAAACACTTAACTTTCTTCTGGAAAGACTCCAGGAAAGGCCCATTTCATATGGCTCCTGCCATCTGTCTGTGCATGGCTACACAGCTATGTGTGTGCATTTAATATCAACAGTGCAGTCTATCTGGAGACAACTGTAGTCCAGATGGATAAAATGTATGTTTGCAAGTCCTCAATGCAGACCCCTTTGAGGTTTCTGAGTCTTAATATATGTTGCAGGGTAACAGTATTAGAGAAGTCTAATAATTCTCTGAACTGTTCCTCTTCGTATGAATTCATCTGGCAGGGCATTTTACAGCAACTGTTTGATCTAAATCACCTCAGAACCTTTCCAGGAATGAAGCATCTTACAGAAGTACTAGTCTTAGAGTGCATAATCCTGCACTATTCCTTGTGCCATCTGAAAAGCCTTTTTTTAAAGACTGGGGTTTAGGAGGTCTTACTAGTGGTCACAGCTGTGCTGAGGTCTGCCCACCCAGGATGGGAGTCATCAGGCCGGAGTTGGAGGAATTATCATAGAATCATAGAATATCAGGGTTGGAAGGGACCTCAGGAGGTCATCTAGTCCAACCCCCTGCTCAAAGCAGGACCGATCCCCAATTAAATCATCCCAGCCAGGGCTTTGTCAAGCCTGACCTTAAAAACTTCTAAGGAAGGAGATTTTACCACCTCCCTAGGTAACGCATTCCAGTGTTTCACCACCCTCCTAGTGAAAAAGTTTTTCCTAATATCCAACCTAAACCTCCCCCACTGCAACTTGAGACCATTACTCCTTGTTCTGTCATCTGCTACCACTGAGAACAGTCTAGAGCCATCCTCTTTGGAACCCCCTTTCAGGTAGTTGAAAGCAGCTATCAAATCCCCCCTCATTCTTCTCTTCTGCAGACTAAACAATCCCCAGTTCCCTCAGCCTCTCCTCATAAGTCACGTGTTCCAGTCCCCTAATCATTTTTGTTGCCCTCCGCTGGACTCTTTCCAATTTTTCCACATCCTTCCTGTAGTGTGGGGCCCAAAATGGGACACAGTACTCCAGATGAGGCCTCACCAGTGTCCAATAGGTATCCCAAAATACCATTGGCCTTCTTGGCAAGAAGGGCACACTGTTGACTCATAGCCAGCTTCTCGTCCACTATAACCCCTAGGTCCTTTTCTGCAGAACTGCTGCTGAGCCATTCGGTCCCTAGTCTGTAGCGGTGCATGGGATTCTTCCGTCCTAAGTGCAGGACTCTGCACTTATCCTTGTTGAACCTCATCAGATTTCTTTTGGCCCAATCCTCCAATTTGTCTAGGGCCCTCTGTATCCTATCCCTGCCCTCCAGCGTATCTACCACTCCTCCCAGTTTAGTGTCATCTGCAGACTTGCTGAGGGTGCAATCCACACCATCCTCCAGATCATTTATGGAGCTATTGAACAAAACCAGCCCCAGGACCAACCCTTGGGGCACTCCACTTGATACCGGCTGCCAAGGGCAAGGCCAGGTATCAAGGGCAGGCCCCGTAAAAAAGAGTCGGGACCAGAGTCAGGCAGGGGTCAAAGGTCAGAGGCAGTACCGGGTTAGAATCGAGGGCGGCAATCAAGATCAGAGTCAGACTGGACTCAGAGACCAGAAGATGAGGCAAAGTCTGGCATTGCAGCAAGCCAAAGTCTGTGTGGCTGCCCAGACAAATTCCTGGGAAAAACCCTGGGGTTAAGTAGGTGCACTTGGCCAATCAGAGGGCAGCAGAGAACTGTCTCTCTAGGTCTCATGGGTGATACTTCCTGTGGCACCTGCTCTCCACAGTGCTCCCTTGCTGTGCCTCTACAGGGCCTTCTGGTGGCACTGTGGGAATAGCAGCTGCCCCAGGTTCTTTACCCCTAAGTTCTAGTGCTTGGGTCCTCACACCATTCCCCATGGCTACTAACCCAGGCCAGATTCAGCACTGCATTCCAGCACCTTCATGCAACTCTGGACATTGCCCAGGTAGATCCCCCGTCCCTACATAGAGCTCCATCTCAGAGCTCCCATGTGTTGGGCCATGACAGCTAGAGGTTTGAGCCATTTTTTCCCTTTTACCTCCTGGTCCTTTGCTCTGCTCAGAACTTAAGAAACACAGAAACTAAGTCACAAGGGCACTTCACACACTGGCTAGTGTAGTTCCCGTTGGCAGGAGTCCAGCCAGGGTAGATCTAAATGTAGATGGCAGATTGATCATCAATAGCCAATGCTCCATACCAGTCACCCTTATTTTACATCTAGGCAAATTGGCACAAAGTTTAAAAAAATTCTTTTAGCCGTAAATACTCTGCATAGTCTCAGCTATGCTCCTTGATTGAGTTTAGGATCCCAGAAGTGCACCCTACGCCCTCTACTCTGAGTATTGGTTCGCTAACTATTGCAAGCACGTGGAGACAGCATGTTCGGGAATGTTTGCAGAGCACGTTCCTCTGAGCCCATGACATTCAAAGACCTGACTCTGGTGCAGAGGCAAGAAGCAGCCCTGATGTGTGGACACATGATATACACACTCATTAAACTTTAAAACTAGAAACTACATTAAACTAGAAAAGGCAGCCAGGGCTTGTGCCAAGGACAATAATGTACCTTAAGGAAAGCTTGAAGTTCAAAATTATGTAGAGTATGACACCAAGACATAGAGGAATGAACAAAATCTGTATCATGCTTCTGTGAAAGAACTTTTTGGGGACCTGTGAAAAACCTATAAAAAGAATTATTCCATTAACAGAATCAACTCACAAATGACCATATAAAGAGTATCAGAGGGGTCGCCGTGTTAGTCTGGATCTGTAAAAGCGGCAAAGAGTCCTGTGGCACCTTATAGACTAACAGCCGTATTGAAACATGAGCTTTTGTGGGTGAATACCCACTTCGTCGGATATCCGAAGGGGGTATTCACCCACAAAAGCTCATATTTCAATACGGCTGTTAGTCTATAAGGTGCCACGGGACTCTTTGCCGCTTTTTCATATAAAGAGTGGAATTCTATCCAAATTCTTAAACAAACAAGCAATGCAAATGAACCAAGCAGAAGCTATTAAAACCTTGAAAGAAAGTGACTTGACTTTAAAAGGCTGGAAGACATTGTTCTTGATCCATGAACCTGCTGCTGACAGCCCCTCCATTTCCCAGCGTGTCTCTTTCTCTCTCTGTTTTATAAAGTGACGTTAGGGCTCATATGAAACAAAATGGAACAAAACAATGTTCTTTGCACCTGGGGGGGCTGCTCTTTGAAATTCAGTTGTCTGGCTCCACTCACTCCACTGACTTTTATAACCTTCCTCTGCTTGGGAAGTTTTGCAGCGAACTCTCGCAGTATAAATGATGCCTGCTTCAAACTCCATAGCCTCGATTTCTACCTTTGTCACTGAGTTGAACAGCTGTTTGTGCTGTGCCTGCTGAAAATTATTAAGAAATAACTCTTATTAGCAACACACAATAAAGGGCTGGTACTCTGAACAATTTGACAGCTCCCCAATCCTGACTCTACATTCTTAGGTGCTAATCCAGGGGTGGGCAAACTATGGCCCGGGAGGCTGCATCCAGCCCTTCAGACATTTTAATCTGGCCCTCGAGCAGGGTTGGGGGCTTGCCCTGCTCTGCGTGTGCTGTGGCTCCCGGAAGCAGTGGCATGTCCTCCCTCCGGCTCCTACGCTTAGGGGCAGCCAGGGGGCTCCACACGTTGTCCCGGCCCCAAGCACCACCCCCGTAGCTCCCATTGGCTGGGAACCACAGCCAATGGGCGCTGCAGGGGCAGTGCCTGCGGACAGGGCAACATGCAGACCCACCTGGCCACACCTCTGTGGAGGAGCCGGAGGGGGGACATGCCACTGACTTTACTGAACCTGCCAGACAAGAATGGACTTTGGGGACAGACAGTGTAAAATGGTTTGCCTTGGGAATCTCTAGGAGGAGCTGAATGCAAATTTCTCGCCTCTGGCTGCACCCTAAGAAGGGTGATCACCTGTTCCTGAAGTTTCAGGATCAGTGGCCCAAGCTGCATAAATGAAGGACAGACCCATTCATGGGGAGGCTAGTTCTGTGCTAAAGCTGTTGTGACCTTGTAAACACAGAAAAATCCCTTGATGGCCCTTACCAGAAGCCTTCTTGAGTTGGGGGTGGAGGGCGGTGATCTCTGGTAAGCATTTTAGCATGCATATAAGTTCTTTGATCGTTTTAATATGTTTTCTCTGTAATGTTTTTACCTGAAGAATAAACGTGCTTGCTTTGTAAGGGCTGTGGGCAATTACAGCTGTTCATAGCTTCTGGAGAAAAAGCAAAGTGTAGATGCTGGTTTGTTTAGGCAGAATGGCTTACTGGGAGTATCACAGTGCTAGCAGGGAACAATGCAGACTCACTGGAAAACCCCTGGTCAGTAGGGAGTGAGACACAGGTCTCTGCCCAAGAGAGGTGATGGCTAAGGAGCTGGCAGCCTAGACTGGGTATCCTTGGTGGACCACGGAGGGGGAACACAAGTGCAGTTGCTCTGAACTGTAGTAGCAGGCATCTGTGTATGGCTCATCCAGGCTGAGAGCAGGTATAGTTACCTCCCAGGATGTATTGTGTTCCTTATACTCCAATTCATACTGAAGAATATTCTCTAGACTCCATGGCACACTCCACCAGAGCTGGCACTTACTGGCACTGATGTTGCTCTGCAGGTTGAAGGGGGGATCACACTTAACTGGAAACAGAGAGAGGAATTATTCCAAACGCTTGGCTTTGAGAGACCTGCAGAACACCAAGCACAGTCCTAGGCTGCTCACAGCTAGGGGACATAAATGTGGTTCTACCCATCCCATGATCCTGGGGTCAGCAGGAGAACAAATAAGCCCCCAGTGCAAGTTAAAGCAGCCACAGGGCTTCTGTAATGTAACACCAACTAGAACAGTCCCTGAGGGACTGCTATGCCAGTGAGGGATCACAAAGCAGATTATGCTCTAGCCCTCCCTACCATGAACACGCACGGACGTGCTCTGTGCTGGGGACAGAGACCAGAGGGGCTGCTGCAAAATGGGTTTCCTTCCAACTGGGAAAATCCTCTTTATCCCCTTTAGGGAGCTTTCAGACCCCTCTGGGACACTGTGCATTGTGAAGTGGTCTTAGTGGGGCTGAGAATCAGGCCCATTGTTCACATTTCCCAAGGCTCCCCAGTCCTTCCTCTATCCCAGCAAACAGTGCAGCTGTCAGCAGGGGGAGCCCCCAGGGCTCAAACTGCAGTGATGGCTTGATGGATGTTGCCCAAGGCAGATAGCAAAGCAAGGGAGGATGGTGGCAGAATGACCCCTAAGGATGGGCTGGGGTGCATGTGGAAGAATGAGACCCAGAGAGAGTCCTGAGGGGCATGATGGTCTGCCCCCATATATAACATGTACAGGCCATGCTGCCCAAGGGTGGGGGTTCTGCATCCTCATCAGTCTCACTTGCTGCCACTGAAGTCTCGCTCTTCAATGAACTTCACAGGCCAAACACTCTCATTCCAAAAGGGATCAGCTGGCCCCCGTCCCATAGCTGCAATGGGTGGTACTCACTGTTCAGACTGGGTTCATATTCCGGGAAAGCAACGTATGTGCGATTCCTCCCAGAGAAACCACCTTGTAGCAAGATGCTGTAATTGTCCTGCTGTGTGAACCTCTCCGCCGTGTTAATTGTGCAGTGATGCTGGCTGTGCAGCTCATCTCTGGCAGTCAGTGTGCAGCTGTAATTCTCATCCAGCGTGACGGCGCTAGAATAACCAAGGGGCTGAAAGTTTGTCTTATGCTGGAGAGAGTAATGGGTTTAGTTAATTTAAGAGTTCAGCCTTAGTTATTTGTGGCACTGCCAGTCACCACACGGAGGAGTCACTTTGCATAGGGCTCATAGAATTGGGGTCTTCCCTGTGTGTAAATGCAAAAAAATGCAGTCCTGGGCTCCAGCAAGTGCCTTACGTGTCTGCCCTGAAAAGGACAGCAGGTGAAAGCCAAGCCAACAAGCGAGGAGGTGGAGGACACCACTAGGATTTGGCTGTTGGGGAGAGTTCAGGGCCAAGGAATCCAGAGAGCCCTTCCTGCCCTGTTACTCTGCTTGCCCTCCTGCCTGACCCAGGGCCTCAGCGTGGCAGACGGTGAGTAGGCATTGAACTTACTTTGTGAAATGCACGTGAAAGGGTCCATCCCCCACTCTTCCGTCTGTCTCCCATGTACAGTCTATTCGGTAGAGGTAGTTATTCAAGCAGCTCAGGTTGCCAGGAAATTCTGCTGAGGAAGGAGATCCGAGATTTTCAGAAATTAACTCCATTTGTTATTTAATGCCAACAGCCTCCCTTTGGGCCCCAAACCCGATACATCAGCGATGCTGTGCACTAGCCTTGCCACTTATTACTGGGCCAGATCTAGCCTCCCCCACCACACTGTTTAGTTGGCCCTTTATTGTATGAAATGAGACCGTAAACTCTTGGGGGCAGGGCGCATGTGTGCAGTTTACCTGCTCTCTTAGCTGCCCAGCATATTATTGGGGATGGGAAATAATAACAAATCCCTGATCCCTGGGCCCCATATTGCCCTCTGACTTGTTCAGTTCCTGGAGTGGGGTGGGGGGCGGGGGAGGGAGAGAGAGAGAGAGAGAAACAGCATGAATGCCCCCAATCTCCTCTCCCCCTTACCTCTTCCTTCCCTTCTTCTGGAGACCACAATGGCAATAAAGCAGAGTTGGAGGCATGCTCGCCAGACGTCCTTTCCCATTGTAAATGTGTCTGGAATACAAAGTATGTTAGGAGTAGAAAGGGCTTTGGGTGTCTCTATGGCAACATGCAGAGTGTGCCAATCATCTTTCCATGCTGAAGCTCAGACTGGCCCAACCCCTGCCGCTGAAGGGCACAGCATAGCCCCGGAACTGCTCTCCTCCCTGCAGCTAACATGCTGCAGCCAAAGGAATTGAGGGCACAGGCTGCACTGCAGGAATTACATGGCCTACAACATCTTCTCCAGCTCTAATTTCTATGATGCTTTTAATTCCTTCCTCCCCCCTCCTTCCTGGACTTCTCTCCATGTACAGTGATACCTGTAAAGAACCACGCACATTGTAGGTACTGGTCTGTCTTTAATGGTGGCTCTTCTTCTCTCGAGTGCCTAACAACTGTCTTCCCTCTCCCTCTTCTCATTTCTGCCTGTAACCACCCCAGCCTCTGTTGCTGCGAACATACTCACCTGAACCCTCCTTTGGCATCTTTAATGCCTCTTTCCTACTTGTCTCTTCTCTTAGCCATCTGAACCCCCTATTCATCTCATCGGTCTGAGCTAATGTTTGCGAGACCTTGTCCTTCAGCTCAGTTGGTATTGGCCTGATCTGTGGTTACAGGTCTGAAGTCAGCAGTTAGTGGTGTCCTGTGAGATGCCTCCAACTCTCATGGGGTGGGTGTCACCCTGTCTTTGGAAACAAGCCCACTGTCTAGTATGGCCCATGTGCTGCTCTAAGGGGGCAGAGAACCAGTCTGAAGACCAGAAGGTGTGCAGTAACCAGAGTGTTGGAGAAAGGGAGCATAAGGTGCAAACTCAGCCAAACCCAATTAATTAAAAAATTCAAATAGCTATTAAAGGACCCGTCATCAAGCAAACAGCTGAAGAGAGCTCAGCACCTGCCAGTGTACCTAATAATCTCGCTTTCCTACACCTTTGCCTGCCTGCAGCTTCCCGTATCTTTAATGAAACACTGAAAATAAAACAACAGGCAGGCTCTAAGAAGCGAATCAGGCTTCATCCCCTGGGCAGGGAGAGGATGTCTCGCTACCACCCTATATATTGCTGCAGATCTTATGAGCTGGGGCTGACGAGAGGAAATTCATAATTAACTGACATCAGCCGAGGGCGGCTAAGTAGGATTAAGTATCTCTTCCTTATCATTCTAATCAGGGTGCTGACTGTCTGTGATAAATGCTGTAAGATTGACTAAATATGAAATACAGAAAGCTGCACGAATGCACACACACTCTGGCACATACATGTGCATACCTGAACACATACACCAACTGGCAAACACAGATCAGAATAATTAAAAGAGACCCATTTCTAGGTTACTGTCAGAAAACTTCTCAAGTCAGTTCTATAATGTATTAGCTATATCAGATATCACAGGGTACGTGGGGCTCACTTAAAAACCATGAGTTTTGCATTTAGCTATAATAAGGTCACACATCTAGAAATCAAGAATGTAGGTCACACCTGGGGTGGCGGGGCCTCTGTTCTGGAAGGCAGAGACTCAGAAATGGACTTGTGGTAAAGGCAAGTAACCAACTGACCTTGAACTCACAATGCAATGCTGTAGCTAAGACAACTAATGTAAACCTTGGATGGGTAATGTGGGGAATATTGAGCCAAAGTAGGGATGTGTTATAACCCCTGCATATGGCATTAGTGGAATACTGTGTCCAGTTCTGGTGTCCACATTGCAAAAAGATTGTTAAAACATTGGAAAAGGTTCAGAAAAAGTTACAAGAATGTATGAGTCCTGGAAAACCTGCCTTGCAGCGAGAGACAAAGATCAATCTATTTAGCTCGTCCCAGAGAAGGCTGTGACCCAGGGATCGCTTGGTGTCAACTGGCAGTGGGGTGCATAGGGTTGAGGGGATCCTGTGGGTCTGGTATCTAAATACTAGTTCACCAAAGAGTGTCATGCAAGGTCTCTACTGAAAGCCTGGTCCTCATCATCATTGTGAAATGTATGTATGGATAATATGGAAGGAGTTATGTATATAGACTGCAAGTTATGTTCTTCAGGTCTGTGACTGGAGGCTGGTCACCAAAAGGTGCTCAACAAGATTCTTTCAGGCAAAAGCTACTTGTAAACTGGGTATTGTACAGGTCACACTGGCCACCCAGTTACAGTCTGAGCTGATTGCTAACAAGGGATTGTGAAATCTTCCAGGCAGGGAATTTATATTAGAAGAAATAAAGCAGCAGGAGGACATCCTTTTTGTGAGTGAAGACAATGGATCTTTGGACCTATAGCTGGGGGATAGGGGAGGGATTAGTGCAGGATACACCCAGTTACACTTCCAAGCAGATAAGCTTGTCTTATCAACAGAAGATCACAGCTGGTTAGGTTGTTTGATGCTGGGAAAGAAACATGGGGCAAGCTAACCTTTATGAGACAGCGGAATGTCTTGTTAGTTAAGTTTAAGCGTTAGAAAGAGTGTTATGATTTTATGTGTCACCATTTGTTTCCCTTAATTCTATTTGCTTCTTCTCAATCTTTGTTCTTTGTTAAATAAATGTCTTGTTTTTCTCTGTAACCCCAGCTAAATGCTGTGCACTGAGTGGAGCGGTGAGCCTGCAGTGTAACTGGTAAGTTGGCATGTGCTATTCCTTGGGAGTAGCAGATCTGTGAATTCTGGGTGTCCAGTGGCAAAGATGCTCGGCATGCTCAGGGACTGGTGTGTGCCTATTACTAACCTGCCCAGAGAGCGGGGCCTGTGAAGGCCTGGCCATGTTGGTGCTTCCAGAGGCTGGCAGAGTCGGGGAGCGCATGAGGTGCAGATTTTTTATGGTGAGGGGAATTAGCCACTGGAACAGCTCACCTAGGGCTGAGGGAGATTCTCCAGCCTTCTAAGTTTGTCAATCAAGACTGGACGTCTTGGTAAACAAGCCTCTATCTCTCAAACAGAAGTTATGGGCTGGATGAGGGATGTGGGGGAGGGTCTGTGTTCTGTGCTATGCAGGCCGTCCGACTAGGATGACCAGATGTCCCAATATTTGGAGCTTTGTCTTGTATAGGATCCAATTACACACCCCACGCTCTGTCCCAATATGTCACCCTAGGTCAGACTAGATTATCACAGTGGGCCCTTCTGGCCTTTAAACCTGCAGTATCCATCCCCACAAACTAAGCCCAAAGTGCCTTACAAGAGCCACTGCTTGCCTGGGTGGCCTCTTGGCTTCTTAGCTATTTCCCAAGACTCCCTGTTTGAGAGGAAGGCAAATCGCAACTTTCTCCTTATTTCCTGAGAAGACGTCTGGCTACAGAGTTATGGCCATCATAATGGAGGTCAGTGGATTAGTGCCTGCTTATCCCAGTGGTGAATTTGGCCCCTCCTGGGTTAGCTTTCTACTTCCCTGGTATCTTAGGCCCAGAGTCTGAAAGTCTTTTCCGTCCCACAAATGTTCCTGCGAGAGCTGCTGTCTTCATGCCTGACTGGATTCGGCCAGTCTGTCTGTTACGAAGTGGTCAAGCCTGAAGAGGGATTGGTGTGTAGTGGGCTGTGTGCTGCCAAGTTCTCTGCAGGGTAACCCTGTAGGTCTTACTACATCACCAAGTAGTGCTGACCTCTCAGTTCATTGTGAACTCAGCACTGAGACCTTGCTGCTGGTCTCTACAGTGGTCTCTGGGGCAGGCTGGCACCCAGAACACAAACTGAAGCCCAGCAGAGGTTTTCCTGCCTCACTCATGTTCTACTTTTGTGGGGGCTGCTCAGTCCCAGCAGGAGGACTTGCCAAGCTACCATGGCAGGTTATGTTGGTGGCATTTTCAGCCTGACCGCCGGGGAGACGTCCTGGCCATCCCATGGGAAGGCTCCTGGTCTGATAAGCTTCCCTGCCCGTTCGGCAGACCCAGGCAGCATGGGAGTTACTCACACCCTTCCACGCCAGCCAGCTCCTCTGGGAATCTCAGAGGACCCATCAAGAGGGGCCCTAGTGAGGAAGCGTGAAGGCAACATAACCCCCTGCAACTGTCCAGCAACGTGAGTCAGCAAGGACAGGGGCATCTAAAAATCACAGGCTTCCTGATGAAATGCTAAGCTTCCAGCACTCCCGTCACTGCATTCCACCCAGGGACGTGCTCTTAGTGGCACTGGCAGTTTCACCCAGAGCAGCAGGAAAACAAGAGGCAAGCAGCAGCCAATCAGAAACCAAAGACAGCCAGTCAAAATGCATCAGCACCACAACTGGGCAGTGAGCAGTGGGTGGAAGCACAAACACCACTGTGACATGCAGCTCTGTGCAAGAGCGCTGAACGATAAGGGCAGAGCATGGCTGTGGGACAGGGCAGCTGGGACACATGGCCACTGCGTGACAAGGCAGCTCAGCTGATTTTCAGTATGGCAAAGGTCACTTCTGCAATGGCACCAACCTCTGGGTGACTGGCAAGAAAGCCCCATGGGATTTGCCCGTTATCAGGGGTGAGGGGAGAAATCACACCCTGAGGAAGACAAGGCTGTGTTGATTAGAGCCGCAGGCTTCCTGCCAGGCACTGGACATTGCTAAAGAGCAGAAGGATGATGATACTTTGCAATGTTTGGGTGAGGATCTTAGAAGTGCTAAAGGCCCCTTTGCTGCACACAGGGATATTGTGTGCGGAGTCTAGGGACTCGCAGACTGGCAATATCAAATATCTGTTTAGGGGAGAGTACTGGGAGCCAGGACTCCTGGGTTCTATTCCCAGCTAGGGCACTGAAGGTATGTTTGCACAGCCTGCGGAAGGCACCTCCCAGCCTCGGTCAACAGACTCAGGTTAGGAGGGCTCGCTCTAGCGCTCTAAAAAGAGCAGTGTAGACGGCGCTTTGAAGTTGTGGCTTGGGCTGGAGCCTGGGCTCTGTAGCCAAGAGAGCGGGGCAGAGATGCTGGAATGAAGGGTGCTGGAGGGGCTGCCGTACCCCCTGGCTTGAAGTAGATTCCATTCTATCCAGGGTTATCAACGGCTCTCAGCCCCCCCCACTGTACTCACTGGAGCAGGGTGGGCTTCAAGGCCTGAGATCCTGCCCCAGCCACACTTCAAAGCACGATCTATGCAGCTGTTTTTAGAGCACTAGGGTGAGCCATAGTAGCCCCAGTCTGCCAGCCTGCTGGGAGGCTCCTTCTGCGGGCAGTGTGGCCATGCTCGGACTCTTTAATATCAGTGTTATTTCTCCCCTTTATAATTGCCGCACACGGGCCATTGTGTTCCTCTCTAACTTGGGGGAGTTGCATCTGCAAAGTGAGGCCACTGGAGTCGCTACGCTATTCTCAGGGCTATAGTCTGTACTCGCACCATGAGTGAAATCCAGTGAGAGCAGGCGGGGGGGACGGACTCACCAGTTCATTGAACGCTCTGATTCCTTTAACACCCAGCTGTAAATGGGTCTCTCCTCCCTGCGCAGAACCTTCTGATCCTCTCTAAGCTTCTTCAAGATGCACCAGCAACAGGCATCTCAGTGCTGAACAGCAGCAGAAGGGAGAGGGACATTGATCCGTAGGCACAGCAGAGCTGGCATTCAGCTATAATTAAGGGCTTGGGCCAACTCACTCTTGGCATTTCCCTCATTCAGGAAAATACATGTCACAATCAGTTGACAAGCAGAAATATATAAATAATATGCACACACGCATAAAGGGTGAGAATGTGCAGAGGGGGAGGAGAAAGGGAAAAGTAATAGAGATTTCTCATATCCACAGAGTAACAAACCCTCCAAAATGATTAGTCTGTTCCTCTCGTTAACCTCAAAGGGACATTTTCCCAGAACTTGATGCATGTGACAGCTGCCTACAGTAAATCTGCCAGCCCTAAACCCTGGAGGCTGTGAAAAGCCTTTTTTCACTGGTGAAAAGCATAGTGCAATAATAACACAAAGCAATTACACACCATGTTCTGCAGATGGGTATCTATACGGAATCCAGCTCACGGCTAGCTGTAGCTAGTCATTCATTAATCTGCCTTAATTTTCCTCAGCTGGTTTTCTCTAGAAATGTGCTGTTAGGGGTGAGGTCTCCTTCCAGCGTAGCCCCAACCCTGGGTGTAGCATAAGCATAAACTCTTCCTCACTGGGCAGTTTGCACTCTCTATTGACCTTCTGTTGGCAACAATGTGCTACAAACTACAGCTTTGTGCTCTGGGAGCCAGTGGAACAAAATTGCAGAGATGATCTGGATCATTACAGATTTATAGTACAAGAAACACTATAAAGCTGAACACCTAGTATTATTTATTATTGGTTAACATCTTAGTTCAATCATTTCTCTTTGCACTAGCCAGCAAAATACAAAGCACAGCAATAGCTTGTCTCCTTACCAGCACAAATTAAACTTCAATTTTCATGCCTCCTCTGTTTCTTGATAGTTTAGAGTGTGTGGTTTGTTCACCAAGCAGCAACAGTTCTGGTACATAAAGCAGAGTTCACTGTGCCTTGTTTTAAAGCTAGTCTCAATAACCAATGGCAAGTTTCTCTGAGATGATCAGGCTGATATGAAGTAGCCACATCTGCAATTACTCATTAGTGAGGGAGCAATTGCTGAATTTACGTTAAGGGGTTAACTTTACTGAGACTGAACTATTTGCTGAATGACTTAAAATACCTTCTTAGAGTTTTTTAAAAAAATGAGTACAAGAGCTTTTTATAAGTGACCTAAAAACACTTCCTAGCCCTGCCTGAGTGTGAGTGGCAAGACTGCTGTCATCCTCATGCCCCAGGCTCAGATACATTTGTACGCCACGAGCACTGAAGCGTATGGAGCAGGACCTATCTTATTCTGTGCTCTGTAAGGTACCAAACAAAGTCTGGGCACTGCATAAATAATAAGTATCCAGCCCAACACTGAGCTCTGGCTTATTGAGGGTTTCCCTTGTCTGAGACCTAGAAAAGCAGTCAAGAACTTGACCATGGCTTGGTAGAAGTAGCTTTACTGTTAGCTTTGCTACCTGCACAGTCATTTACACATGGTATCTGAGATGCATCACAACAGCCAGAGGAGAGCCAGAGAGAGAGAGATTAAAGCCAGAGAAGCAAGGCTTGGCATGACAATAATCTGTTTGGGCGGCGTTAACTTCAGAAGGGTGAGGCAGGCAGGGAGTGTGCGTGTGTGAAGTTGGGAATATTAGAGATGGGAGCCCTGCATGTAGCAGCGGGCTCCTCAGTGTTGCTCTGTGTGTGCACCCTACACAGAGCTTTAGGGTGGGATTTCCCAACATGCTCAGCACTGGCCTAGCTCTGCTCCCATTGATGTCACTTGTAAAACTCTCATTGCTGCTAATGGGGGAGTGAGGCCACCATCACATGCCTTGGGAAATGCCACCCTCATGCTCACTGTGCAGGTTTGCTTTCTAAACATGAACTCTCCAAATCAGACAATGAAAAACCAGAGCGCCTCTGAAATGGGAACTATTTCTTATAGGTCACCCTGAGACAAATGTAGCCAGCTGAACTCAGAGCAGGAGGCCCCAGAGAGCTTCATAAAGTGGTTACTGTGAAACTGGACATATTTTGTTTCCTCTGCTGGTGAGGGGACTTGGGACCCTACATTCAGGGCCTTTCCCCATCGCTGTGGCTTGTCAATCACTCTGGAATTGTTGCGGTCCATGTAAGGCCAAGAGCTCTGATGACTAAGCCAACATGCAGCTGAGAAGGAAGCACCAGCACTTAGGAGCTCTGCAGCCAGCTCGTAAAAGACTGACCCTCCCTCCCCAGTTTCATTTGATATTCATGTTAGAAAACATGGGGCCAGTCTCCAAATGGGAATTTAGCTGTGGAGCAGTTTAGCCTCTGCTGTGATCACAGGCTGTCTTGGTCTCTCTGTGCTGCTGCTCTGCCTTCACTAGGGCACACCCAGGGAGTTAGCCCAGTTCTGCATTGTGTGTCCTCTACAAGGGAATGTTGCTGCTTTTTAACCACATGTACCCCAAAACACTTCGCAGAATGTACTGAACCAACTGTGCAAACTGGAGCTCAGTGCAATCCCCGGCTAGAGTGGAACATGTCAGCTCCTTCCCAGACCACACCAGGTCAGGCAGAAGACTCCTGTTTCCAATTGAAACAGCAGGGGGAGAGCAGGAAGGCCAGATGCAATTTGGCCAAGAGACTGGGACCACACCCTTATTTTTGTGTTCCATGATGATGGGAAGCCAGCACTCCCTAGCACCGCACTGGAGCATTGCGGGGACAACTAACCCAGAACTCAAGGCAGCCCGATTGACTCCCCTATCTGGAGCATGCATGCAGCATACCTCAATGCTATGCTGAGGCACCAGGGTCAGGCCCCTCCTAACTGGCAGTCAGCAATTCTATCAAATGAGATGGAAGGGAGTCTCTCCCCAGCCAAGCAGGTAGGAGCCATGCTGAGCTGGTCCCAGCTGGGAGTGCCCCTCCCCTGGCCGTGCTGAACTGGTCTCTGCTGGGAGTCCCCTCCCGCCAGTAGCAGGGTTGCCAACTCTCATGATTCTGTCATTAGCTTTGCGGTAACCGACGTTTCTCCCAAGCCCTGGCTCGTTGAGTCATGTGATTACATGAGAATTTTCAGCTTTCATTCAAAAGCAATCAAAGGTAAGTTTCTAGGCAGCCCTCATGGCTGTGGAGAAAAATGTGACCCAATGCAGCCTGGGGGCTCTGCAACTAGCTTGTAAGAAATAAGAACCTGGAATTTATTGTTTGTAAAAATCGCATGCTTGTTTGGGGCCTAGTTTGTAACTTTTGACACTTAGGGTTGGTGATGCTGTGGCAGAGGGGGCCTGTAGTGGGAAGCCCCTCTTTGCAGATCTTACATGTCTTATCTCTGCATGGACTTCCCTCCCTGGGGCCTGTGCAGGGTCAGGTCAGAAAGGTCTAGTACCTCAGAGCGAACTAGGTGATGAAAGCCTCCGGCTGAGCAGCAAGAGATCGAGCAAGCCTATGTGCTCCTCTGCTGCCCCCGCGAGGGCACGGGGGTTAGCACGCCCTACGGCACCTGAGGGGGCTGCAACATGTCCCCACAGACCGAGGCAGACAAGGCCCTGGTCTACACTGGGGGGGCTCAATCTAAGTTACGCAACTTCAGCTCCGTGAATAGCGTAGCTGAAGTCGACGTACTTAGAGCTACTCACCACGGTGTCTTCACTGCGGTAGTCGACGGCTGCCGCTCCCCTATCGAGTCTGCCTGCGCCTCTCGCGGCGCTGGAGTACAGGAGTCGACGGGAGAGCGCGCGGGGGTCGATTTATCGCCCCTAGACTAGATGCGATAAATCAACCCCCGCTGGATCGATCACTGCCCACTGATCCGGCGGGTAGTGTAGACATAGCCAAGGAGGGGAGCAGAGCTGCAGAGGGGAGGGGAGTTGGGGCCAGAGGGTAGGGTGACCAGATGTCCTGATTTTATAGGGACAGTCCCGATTTTTGGGTCTTTTTCTTATATAGGCTCCTATTACCCCCCACCCCCGTCCCGATTTTTCACACTTGTTGTCTGGTCGCCCTACCAGAGGGGGCAGTGGGGCCCTAGAGGCTGCACACGGGGATATAGACAGATGAGGCCAGAGGAGCTGTGCCAAGAGGGGGCTGCATCCAGCAGAGGGGCTGAGGCTGGAGAGGAGGGGGCTCTGCCGGGAAGTCCGGGGCTACATCGAGGGGCATAAGGCAGACATTAAGTTGCCTCTAAACCTGGCTTGATGCAATTCCAGAATTCGGGGAGGAATCCCAGGGGTGAGCCTGAAGACGGCATGGCTAGGGCTCTCCTTGCTCTCTGCATCTTGATGAGCAAGCCAACCTGAAGATTTGCAGGGAGGGCACTTCCTACAAACAGAGGCCCAGGCATGCTGCCCCTGGGCCAGAGGTTCCCTGCTGGCTCAGAGATACTCTGCATGCCCAGAACAGGTCTCCTCCTGACTCTGGATCACTGATCGTTTAGTCTGTGCTTGTGAATGGTGAGTGATGCTGTCCACTGGATGATGCCTGATCTCTCCTAGGAGAACTGGTGATGCTGCAGGAATCCCAGGGAACAGGAGGGATATACGGGGGCAGGAGGAGTTTATTTGTATCACAGACAGAACAGGATTAGTACACTGGAAAAGCAGCAGACTGCAGGCCTGGGCCCCTACACTCGCTAACAATATTATATTAACTTTACAATGCAGTTGTCCTAAATAACACAAAATGCAGTCACAAAACAGCCGGAGGCAAATGTTTTCCTGATCCCAGTGCATGTGTCACGAGTGGCTCTATTACAAGCAGGAACAGTCCAGGTTTAGTACTGTTGAAGAGTTATACTGCAGTAGTGCCCAAAGGCCTGGGTCAGGGCTTCATTATAGACAGACACACAGACAGACACATAATCCCTGCATTTCTTGCATAAATCTACAAGCCACTACAATGCTATAATTAACGTGCTTAGAAGGTATTTTTAAAGATGTTGCTTAAAGAGGCAGCCCCGAAAGCGGTGAGAATTTGTCTGGAGTTGGAAGGTGTAGCTTTGCTGAGAAACTATTACATTAAGATATAGGTTCAAA